TATATATATAAATATATATACATATATATATGTACTATAATTATTACTATAATTATTATGTATAAAAAAACTGATTCCAAATATTTTTTATTGATAAGTGATAACACATAAGCTCATCAATAGCTAATAAATAAATAAAAAAATCGGTTGAAAAACAGAGGATTAAAAGTACTGAACCTTTTTGTCTTTGAATATATATTCTAATACATATTATAAAGTGGAAAAATTTGTATTTTTGTTTGTTTGTTTATATCGAATAGGCTCCGAAACTACTAAACCGATTTAGATGAAATTTGGTAAGAAGATAGTTTTTATCCCGGAAATCATCCTTTAAGGGAGTAAATATGGGGATGAAAGTTAGTATGGGGAAGCAACTTAGGGACGAACCCGAGTGAAGCGAGGATGAGTCGTTAGTTAATTATATTCTAAATTTTTCTATGATAAGTCAAAGAAGTATGAAATCTGAAATACATATATCTAGTACTGAATTGAAACGTTCGTCTGCGCATATTCATATGTAAATATGAAATTTAAACTTAATTTTATTTGCACTTTAATTCATCGACCATGTTTCTTTTGCTATTTGTAGTCGAGAGATTTGTAACTTTACCAACTGGTAATTTTCTAAACAAATATTGAAATAAGTTATCTCGCATCGATAATATCTTATGGATGATAAATAAATTTAAAATGATGATATAAGCAATGTGTGTTACTGAATTTAATATTAATATATATATATATATATTAATAAGTTATGTAAGTAAATACACGATTATTGAAAAAAAGTGCTAATTTTTAACGTCACTGAAAATAGATTCAAGTGGCCATGCTTAGGATGGCTACAAACGAAAAAAGTTTTTTTTAGATAGAAATAGGTAGTTATAAACATTTTCACCTGCAAACGAATAGACAAACTTTTATCTCTTTATAGCAGTAAAATTAAAATATAACATAAAAAATTACACATTTGTAAATAAATATGCACATCACGCATATTTTTTCTTTGTACGTTTCTTCTAAGATCATATTTTAAGTGCGCTCTAAAATATAAAAAATGTACCATAAAATTTATAGGTATAGTGTTATAATCTACATAGATTTAATATTATATTCTAGGTATAAATTTTTATAAGCGCAGATGTTATTTTGACGCTCGATACTAAAACCAATGACGTAACGATGGAGTTTTGAAAATGAACTTCTCAGTGTGGAGTCATACTTACATGACGTCAAGAGTATCATATTATGTTTCAACTTTACACATGAAATTGAACACTCTCTAGAAAGAGAGAAGGCGAACATGCGGCCAATACCTGTCTCTTTTATATATAAAAATAAAAGTGATATATAAATTTGGAGAAACTTTTTTTTAATATATCAATTTAAATATCTGAGCATACAAACACAGAAAATATTTAACATAACTAAACCTTTAGCCTTGCCAAATTTTATCGAAATCTGTTCAGCGGTCTACGCGAAATCTGGCAAGGACGATTTTATCCGACATCTTCAATAATCACCGTCATATATCAGTCAATTTACACAAAACCTTCCTGAATTAGACACCAAATCTTCCTCATGAATCATTTCATCTATTGGTGAAAACCGGATGAAAATCCGTTCAGTAGTTTTTGAGTTTATCGCGTTCAAACAGACAGACGCGGCGGAGGACTTTATTTTAATAATATGTAGTGATTCTATGATATAAAAAAAAATGTAAGTTTTTATCTAAATATTGTATTATTTTAATAAATAATCTTTCAATGTTAAAGAAATACATATAATGTAGAATAATAAATCACTAAAATATAAAAAATATTAACATAACTATTTCTTGTATGTACCTAATATGTACAAGAAAAACTTAATTTTAAAATAAACAATGTAGAAATGATAAATTTCTTAAAATTTATAAAAAAGATTAAAAGTAACAGAACAGATCATCAGTATTTTTTTGTTTATTTTTTGTTCTTATCTCTTCATATGAAATGTTATACAATAATTTTTATTAATTTTTAATTGTACGATATACCTACTATATGTACTAACTAAGCTTGCATACGTTAGGTTCGATCTGCACAAAAAATCAATAAAAAGCTAATTCAATAAGCTTTAACAGAGATAATTTTGGCAGACATAAGACCAATATTGAATATACTCGTATCTATGTTATAGAAAATTTTGAACCATACATTCTCGTTGTTTTTTATTCTTCTACTTAATACTCATAATAATTACTCTCATATTACTAAGAATTATAGGCACATAATATGAATATATTAAATTGTAAGTAATTCTATAAGTATAAATATCGCACAAGTTCCGCTAAAAATGTCTAATAACAATTGAATAAATATTTTCAGCATCGCATCGGCATTCTATATTTGGTAATGACACTCCACTGTAAAGCATTTTGTTAAAAACTCCATATATGGCTTACGAAACCTGGAAAAAACTAAATTCAATTTTTTTTTATACACACTAATGATTCTTTAACTTGCGTAAATGAGTCATCTGTCTTATGTAGAGCAGTAAATGATTTTTTTTTAATCATTATAATCAATCCGAATTCCTATGATCTGGAATCTGCCAAAAGAATGTTATTCACAACAAAAATCCTTAACAAAAAGAAAGTGGTCACGATAAAATTAATATCTAACATTTATATTCATATTTTTACTTTTTAATATAACTTGTATTTTATATACTGAATAGTGATAGTTTAATTAAAAAACTTTTAGTAAAGATTGAATAGCGTGTTAAGAAAGATGCAAACTTGCAAAAATCCCGTTATCAGGTCTTACCTTATCGTATAATTTTCATTTTGACGTCACATCACGTCTCCCACTCATGGTGTGCGCGTGCGCAGTCCGTGCGACAGCAAAATTATTATTTTCAGCATTCAACTAGAATATGCCAAAACAATATTTAACTATATGAATATACGGTTTCAGGTTATCGTGATGATCGAATTATCAGAATTTAGCTAAAATAAATTATGATATTATTTCTAAGAACTTATTTTTTATTATAAAAATGAAGTTTTTCTATAGAGGTATTTTTTTTAATCCAATAAATATGATAAAATAAATTTGGATGGATGAATATTTGTTACTCAATCACGCCAGAACGGCTGAACGGATCTGGATAAAATTTAGCACAGAGATATATCATAAATCTGGAACAGCAAATATCTTTTTATCCCGGAAAATTGTACGGTTCCCGTGGGATATTTATACTAACCGTTAATATGTACCTACGAAAGAACCCGAGCGAAGCGAGGGCGAGTCGCTAGTTAAATCATAATACACTTTATAGCTATCCGAATAAAGAGGTGTATTAAAAACTTGTTTCAGCTATATTCAGTAAGTATGTAAATATGTTTGTTTACATTTACTATTCGTAGCATTACGAAATTTTTAGTAATATCTGGTTTCTATTATCATGTTGGAAATTTGAATTAATAAAATACTCGATTTGTAATAATTTACACGACAAAATTTACTTATTGACTTTATACTCGTACTTCACAGAGTGAGTCCCACAAAATCTGGTATCCATAAAACAAGCCTCGTAGCTTACTATGGAACTAGATGGTGCTGTGTGTTGATGTCCCAACTTAAAAAAATATTTTTGGCAAGTTTTGATATCTTGACACTGAACAGTGATGTTAATCGTTGTCACACACAAGGCAAGTGATCATTTACGCTATAAAGATTTGCACGAGTATACTCAAAAAAGGTTGTGCTTAGTCTCTCAAGTGTAAATGACGTTGGTAGAGACATGCTTGGATTGCTGTTGTTATGACGCCAGTTATCTAATTATGTGGTTGTTCTGTTCACATTTTATCGAGCAATTATAACGCTTTCTAGACGATATGATATATACATATAAAAAAATTGTAACTAAGCCGAATCTGTACATTAAATACATACCGAATCTGTACATTTGGGGAAATATTATTGAAATAGACATTATTATCGATACAGAGGCCGAATCTATAGTTTTTAGAATTTTTGTCTGTTTGTCTGTAACTGCATCACGTAAAAACCATTGGAAAGATTTTAATGAAATTTGGTATGATGGTAGCTGGTTATCCGGGTCAACATATAGGATATAATACTGTTAACTGCGGGGAAATAACTCATCTCTAAACTAAATCAAATCTATACTAAATGTTAAAACGTAAGTAGGGACGAACACGAGCGGAACGAGGGTGAGTCGCTAGTGTATTTGTAAAAGATGTGACTTATTATATTTTGAAATTCTATTTGAGATTAGTCTTTTTGAAACCAATCTTCCAGTTTTGCAAAACTTCTTTAGTATTTTTTTTCTGTATTTCAAAGTATGTATTTTGATAACATTAGTCATTTGTAATATATTCAATATTGCTTAAAGTTTGTGAGTTTGATTCTAAGATTTATAATTTGATTAAAAGTTACTTTTATGACAGCAAATTATTGCAAAAAAAACGCATGGTGTAATTTAATTATAAAGGTTAAATAGCGGGTTACTTAATAATATTACAAGGCTATTAGTAATTTTCGTATTTGATAAAGCTGGTATTCTTGGTATTTTGTAAGATATCGCGGTGCGATAAGAGATGTCGTAGCCTTATCACAGCGTGGCGCGGTAAGCGACTTCACGCCAGTCGTCCGCCGGGCTCGCGGCCGGTCTCGACTATACCATATACTCTCACTACTCTCGAATTTTACAAACAATAAATTAAAACAAATAGGATATTAAATATTAATTTTGCTGATTTTGTTAACTAACGGGTTTAGTGTTTGTGTAGTGAAGTTTCAGTGTAAGTGCGGTGAAAAACAAAACTAGAAATTTTATATATCAATCTCTTATATTCTTTGAATCTTACCATCTACATACAATAATATAGACTTACAGCTAGCAACTACTTAAGTAGTTAGATAGGACAGTCTTAATTGAGTACTAAAACTAGGTAACGATCATGAGATCTGGATCACAGTCTGTGTCGCTTATTGCGCAACGGTGGGGACGGGAATGGCGAGTGGGGGCGAAGGAAGCAGCCGTAGAACGGGCGCGGGAGGGGCCCTTTCTTTTGCGTGTCTCTTGACGTGCTTGGCGAGATGGTCGGACCGCATGAAACGGCGGTTACACACGCGACACCCGAATTTCTTCTCGCCAGTATGCGTCCTCTTATGTCGGGACAGTTCGTCAGAGCGGGAGAAGCGTCGCTCGCAGCCGGGCCACCCGCAGCGGAAGGGACGCTCGCCCGTGTGGGTGCGGGCGTGAGCTTTTAAATGTGACGATTTGAAGTAATTTTTCCCACAGCCAGGGTAAGAGCACTCGTATAGACGACGACGGGCGGCTGGCGCGGGTGCGACTAGCCACAGCGCCGTGGTAGGTAGGAGAGCACTCGGCACTATCACAGCTGAGGCGGGTCGCGGCGCGAGCGGCACCCAGCCAGGTGTCGAGGCAGTTGGTGGCACTTGAGGCACTCTTTGTTCGTCTTGTTTAGTTTGACACTCTGGGTGTGGTGAGGGGACGCGTGCTTCTTCAAGCTTCGCCGGAGGGCTTATTGGCGCGGCGGGCGGAGCCTGAGCTTGAGACTGCGTCTGCGCGATATATTTGGTTTGTGAGTAGCTGTGACCCCGATTCATTTTAAATTTAAGGGTCTTGAGTATATTCATTTTGGCGGGTGGGGGCGGCAGTGGTTCAGGACTGCAGGTGCCGTCTTTGTGCGCTCGCATGATGACTGAAGGGCGCGCACAGGGCTCTGGTGGGGGTGTGGTCAGTAGCAACCGTGCGAGTTCGCACCTAGATCGCTTGCTGCATTCATCTTCACCTTCCGAGTCCGAGGGTTGGGGGGTCACGAGGCCAGCCGGTGGGGAAGACTCTCGGGCACGTTTCACTGCTGCCTTCTTTAAAGGTAACTCCACCTGCGAGACAAAGACATACATAGATAAGTGATCGTTCACTAGGTCGGTACTTGGAGCACGCGCACGGTGCGTGGTCGCGCGTTGCACTCCTGCCATACTTTCGATTGCACAAGGTACGATTCATATTTGAGACAGACTTTTGAAATTAAATAGGTAATACTTTTTGGGGGAAAAAAAACAAATAGCTTGCATTAAAATAACATCAACTCACTTTTACGTCCATCAACGGCGGCGTTGAGGGCGGGGAGAGGGGTCCGCAAACATCGAGTAGAGTGGACATTATGACTAGGGTGTCATTCAACGGTGAGAAAGTTTGTAATTCACTAAACTCGCGGGCTTATTGTGGCTGAGAGAGCCGTGTATTTTCGTCGGCGATCCGCAGACGAATAAACCGCTTCGCGAGCGTTCGAGGTACGAGGCACGGGTGGTTGTGAGGTGTGTGGGGTGCGGGGGGGTCGCGTCGACCAATGGGAGCGGTCGGCGCGGCTTGACGGACCAATGGCAGGGGGGCGATCACGCAGCCAGCGCGTGAAGGCGCGTGGTGTTCACGTGCTCGCCGAGTGACGGCGGCGAGGTCTTGTCGTGACGTCACCGGCGCGCCCCCGCATGACGTCGCGGCCGCAGGGGCGCGGGCACGACAAGGTCGCCAGTCGCTTCAGCACTCGCCAGCGCTACTTCTCTCCACCGTCCACTGCATTTAGCACCTCTACAATTTCGGCGGTCATTGACATTTGATTTATGCAAAGTGAAACTTGCGAAATATTTATGTGTTGTATATAAGTAGGTATTATATGGATGCGGGTTGTGAATATGAAAATTTAGTTTTCTAGATAATACTAGTTATCCTAGTTATTGTATCAGATAGGCCCGCTTGGTAGGTGTTCAAATACGCTATCGAGAGGCGACATACATAGTAGGTTTAAAACACGTTTATTTGATTTTATAAGTATATCATACTTACATATTGTTTACATTATACACATAATAATGTAAAAAATATAAAATATGACTTAATAACATACACATAAGGGGTAAAGAAATAAATATTGACAAAAGATTGTCTTTCCCACGATCTATCTTATCGGGAGGTCGGGCATTTGATAAGGCAAAATAGTAGGTACATTGCTATGAAAAAGTAAACGTCTGCAATTGAATAAAAATTAATTATTTATTATGTAAATAAATAATAATATCACGAAGCCTAATAATATTAAAAAATATATACTTTAATGTTTAAGCAATTTAAATAAAACAAGTTTCTATCAACATCGAAGTAACTGAGGTGAAAACAAATTTATTTATCGTTTCTCAATCTTAAAAAAATATAGGCAATAAGACGTATGAAGTTATTAAGGCCAACAATTGTGTGTTATAATTAAAGGTACGTAATTTATCTCTACATTTATAAATTTACTTGTCTTTTATATATAGATATAGAGCCACTAAAGATTTTTTTAAATTCGACTCCTGTATAAGTGGTCACGTTGTATAGATATCAAAAAAATAGGGTACCAAACACAGAGCAACCTGTTAAAGGCCGCTAGTATTGTACGAGTATGTATAGGTATGAACGACGCTACGTACCTACCACACATCTGTTTTGGTCTGTTTATTATACTGAAGGTCGTAGGTTCAATTCTCGCACGTGACTATGTGGTGGTAAACATTCTAGTGTGCATCGCTCGGGCTGATGATTTAATTATTAGATTAAAGTTATACTTTAGGTTAAAAAAATGATAAAATAAAACATAAATAAATTAAAAAAAAATACAGTTTTTGATAAAAAAAATAAACTTAAAATATGTTGTTCATCATTAATATTCAGACAGTTTATATTTAATTGAAGGTTAATTTTTATATGTTGACTAAAAAATATTTCAACAAATATTTACCAAGGTGTTGTCATAACTCTAACAAAAAATTCTATTTTATTTTCCACTTCTATTACTATAGAAATGTCAGAAATTTTTGTTTTTCTACAATATTTATTTTTATAACTGGGCATGATTTCCTTGTAGCTGTTTACGAGCGGTGACGACGCGGCTACGTGAAAGTGTAGCACGCGTCCGCTGAGTGATAAGATTGGTGCAAGTTACGAGCTCCATGTTTATTAACACAAACTTTTTTGATTCTAAGTACTCTTTATTTTAAATAAAACTATCTTTTCGGGTTTTTTCGCGTATTTATTTTGATTTTTGGTTCCCGACGTTTCGAATGTTTTACAGCAATCATGGTCACGGGAGAGACTAAGGTTTTAGACGTCTTAAAGGCATTATATAGTTACAGTTACAGTCTATAATAACTATACATATAATGCATCATATTCTGTATAATGTAAAATATTCGCGTCAATCTAAGAAAGTTTACTCTTTATTTTACAATTTGTATAATATCAAGCATTAAGTATATTTTTATCTCAAGAAGACGAGCTTGGATACAAATCGACACTTAAAAATATGCCGTTAATATGGATTTGTGTTGTGGTTTTATCTTTTATGCAATAGCTAAGCAACAGATCTTACATATGTGATATATGTAGTTAGTTTATGTTCTGGAAATGAAAATTCGTTGCACAGAGAGGTTTTTATGGGATATTATTATTATAAAAACTGATTGAAGAACGCATGCACGCAAACATAAGCATGTACTTGTTACGTTATGCTACGTCAGGCCATTAGTGTTATAAAAATACTTTAATATTTACTAAATACTAAGTAATGTTAATTAATAGTCCGCCAACCCGCACTTGGCCAGCGTGGCGGGCTATGACCTGATTCCCCTCGTACTGAAGGGAGGCTCGTGTCCAGTAGTGGGAGTCGGAGTCCGACTCCCATGGGACCTTAAAAAAGGGCTGAATACAAGTAATATTAATATCATTGAGAAGACCTAAGAGTATTTATACCATACATAGCTATGCAAAATTATCATTCCTATTACTATTTGTTCACATCACTTAATAAAATTAATTTCTTCTTTTTACTTCTAAAAGATAAGGTTTCTTTTGAACACATATGTATATATTTGGTTTTTATTTGTATTATTTTTGTATTGTCTTACATAAATTACAATTAATGAATAATTAACATTTACATATAATTATTACAAGAAACTAACATACACTGCATTTTATATAAATAGTATTTCAGTGTTTTCTCTAAAACTTACTTTAAAGTCACAACCTTAGAGTATATATATATATATATATATATATACTCTAAGGTCACAAGATATTAGAAAATAATTGTGCAGATAATCAAATAAAAATGTGCCTAACATGTTAAGGCTTTTCTATCAATTAAATAAAAACTGTTTGACTAAAAAAAACAATAAACAATTTCGGTTTATATTAAGGCGTTTAATGTTAATTTTAATATCGCTTCATGCAATTATTTGTACCATACACCCATACGTACGTACTATGAGTGTGATGAAATAGAACTGCGGTTGTGACGCTCTCGTGATCGATGAATCATTGTCGTAAACGTGATGCAACGTGTCCTAGCTCTGTACTTGTAGCGTCATTAATTACAAATTAATATCTAATGAGATTTGTGTTTAAGGGGAATTTATCAATACACCTTAGGTAATGGTTTTGACGACGGGTGTGGTTCAGTCTGTAGTGACCCTACTTGCGGTGCCAGCGGTCGCGGGTTCAAGTCCCGCTGGGGGTATTCATTTGTGTGATGAGCACGAATGTTAGTACTCCAGTCATGGGTGTTTATATTTATAATAAGGTATACATAAAATAAATATAATATACCGGGGATATAAATCCCCGGTCAACATTTTAGGTAGGTACTTTTAATCCCGGAAAATCTACTAAAATTTAAAATTTTAATTCCCCCAAAAGAATTCACATGGGATAGAATTATTTTTGTTTGTCTAAAACCATTATTTTATAATTTTGGATGTCTTATTAGCATAATATCGAATTAAATAGGTACAATTAAGTAGTATTCATTTTTTAATTCTCTCTAAAAATTGTAAAGTATGAAGAAGTGGTAGCCTAGTGGTAACGCGCTCGTTTGGCAAATCGAGTGAAGCGGGTTCAAATCCCGGGTCTCGCACCTCTGATATATTTATATGCAAATCACTTTCAACATGATTGCCACTTTTCTTAACGGTGAAGGAAAACATGCATGTCTGAAAGAGCCAAGCAAGTTTTCAAAATATATGTGAAGTCCGCCAACCCGCAATTGGCCAGCGTGGTGGACTATGGCCTGACCGTACTGAAGGGAGGCCCGTGCCCAGCTGTGGGACAAAAAGTGAAGTGAGAAAATAAAATAATTTAAAAGTATATGTTATAAGCAGTTTGCTAAGGGACAAAAATTCTATACATACTATATTATATACTATCCATGGAAATATTTTAGCAGGCGGTTTCACTAAAAGTTTTTATTTCTGATTCAAGATCCGACGTTGCTTTAAGATCTTTTTTAATATTTTAATTTTACCTACTGTAACAAAAACAGGTTATTAAAATATGTATTTATTATAATATTGGAAACAACTAGACGATTTTGACGGAATTTGTGTCAAATAACAGAAATATTCCGAAATGAAAGATGGAAAGATGTTATTTTTTTATTAAACAATTTTATTACCGGTTAGTATAGAGTAAAAAGTATCCTATATGTTGACCCGGATAACCAGCTATCATCATACCAAATTTTATTTAAAATCTGTCCAGTGGGTTCCCCGTGACAGACAGACAGACAAAAATTCTAAAACTATAGATTCGGCCTCTGTATCGATAACAATGACTATTTCAATAAGATTTTCCAAAAAATATTTAATGTACAGATTCGGCTTAGTTACAATTTTATTATATGTAAGAAGATAGATAAATAGGCAAATGTAGGTATACTCGTAGGTGTTGTCAGAAAGTTGTGTTGCATAACAAGTAAATACGGTGTTATTGCTGAAAGCAATCTCCACAAACCTTTAGTGAGAGGATGGTGGACATTATTTACATGTTAATTATTTTTGTGGTTATTTACATATAAAATAAAATTGAAAATAAATGAAATTTTTATTGTTAGGTATATTTTATGTTACAATATATTTTTCGGTTGGATTTCATGGGACCAAAGAAGTTTTAACACTTTAAGTAGTATTCCTCCACGACCGCGGACACGCCGGCGTGTCAGTTAGCAATAGATTTCTTAGAATTTTAATTAATTTCTTAGAAATTTACCTGGAGGTGTTAAAGATATTTAAGTATGTTTAATGTCACGCGTCGGCGTCTACCTTTGAGTAACCATATCATAACCATGGGGA